AATAAAAACAGCGCAGAGTTTGAACAGAGTTTGGGGAGGTGCATTATGGGTCGGCAGTGGACTGCCTGGAGGCTGCTGCGAATGTGATTTACAGCCGCTGGGATAAGAACCTCCCACATGACACATGGCTATTAATCTGGCACTATTTTTATACATGGCTGCACTTCTGCAAAGCATTATGGGAGGGAGACCTGACAGGAAGGGAGAGAGGGGGAAGAGAGAGAAAGAGGGAGAGATGGAGAGAGAGCCCGACCCTCTCCACATCACTTACCTCTGTCCACTTACTGCATGTTCTGCACAACCAGACGACAAGACTCAGCCATGACTGTATAGGACACATTTGCAATTGTGCACATTCTACAGGGCTCATACACAGTTCGGCTCAGATGTGCAGTGGAGTTAAGTAGAGTTTTGGAAACAGCAACTATACATGATGAGCAGGTAAAGACGGCTCCACATTTCATCTATACAAAAAAGCCTCATAGACTAAACCCAGGATGCTCAGAACCTCCAGACAGACGCATAAAGCACAGTCTATAAGGATTCAAGCAGTGATGCTGTATACAAAAAAAGAACTGCAAACCTTGCATGGCACATAAGACTTGGATGTAAATATAGACAAATAAAAGCTTGCTGTCCCAGATCTAACCTCAAAATAATGGTTTTTCCAATACATTAAGCTGGAGCACTGACTGAAAAAAACACAAATTGCATCACTGTTAACCCTTAGAGCGCCATAGGCAACTACAGTTGCCCAATGATGTAAGATATCATAATCAGATGCTGTTGAAAACCTATCATGTGGCGACTTGTTTAAAAGAACTCCTGCAGGGGAGCTCTTTTAAAGAAGTTGCCACATGATAGATTTTCAACAGCTCAGGATAATTACATTTTTTATTCCCTGAAAATTTATTCAGCGCTCTAAGGGTTAAAATACATACAAGCTGCTCTGAGTTGTGAGACCATATTCCAGCCTCAAGACAACAGACCAGATGTAACTCCTTTACGGACACATATAAAGCGCAAAATACTCTGCTTTGCTCGTACCATTCATCACCATCTGGCTGTGCTAATTTTAAACCTGTAACTTATACGTACAAAACTCATACTTTACAGTAAGCGGTATTCTAGCACAGCCGGTAAGGGCTAAGAAGCCATGTGACCTTGCAGGGATTGTCTGCTGATAAAAGCCTGATGGAATATGTTCCTGTTGGAAGAGGAGAATGCGTTAACACCTTTTCCTTGGTGAGAAAAAGCAGCGATAATTCAGATGCAGGAGTTCGAATAACAGCTGTAGTCTTGCTAGCGCCTGAGATTTTGATTCTGTTGGTTGGCATATTATCCAGTCTCTCCAGCGACACACAAATGTATTTTAGCAATATTAATATGGCCAAATACTAATGTCAATATTGAGACTGGTAATATTCCAGCCTTCCCCAGACAAGCTCTTAAGCAAACTGCTCTCTGAAAAGGAAATGACACAGGAAATTAACTTCCATCGCAGCTTGCTTGCGTTTCGGTCGGAGGATTTCTCAGCTTTTGTCTGTTTTAAAATGGAACCAAGAATAGTCATCTCAGCAGGGAAAACCCAGTATTGTGTTTGATTGGTGCGTGAGATTTGCGCGCAGTCTGTGCAAATTTGTATTGTGTGTGTATGTATTTGTGCATTATGTGTGTTGTGTCAGAGAAAGGTAGAGAGGGAGAGGGAGTGAAACAAAGAATGACAGGTGAGTGTGTTTTTTTTGGTTTGAATGGGGTTAATTCAATGTGTGTGTGTGCGTGTGCGTGTCTTGTGTGTTGTGTCAGAGAAAGGGAGAAAGAGAAAGAGTGACAGGTGATTGCATGTTTGTTTGTGGTTTGAGAAGTGTGTATACAATGTGTGCGTGTGTGTGGGTGTGTGTGTGTGTGTGTCTGCATGTGAATCTGACAGATAATTATGTTCTATCTGTGGGCTTTTGGTGGTAGCCTCTGGCTTACCCTGCGGAGGGAAGGCTGGGGCGTTGGGAGCTAGCAGAGGGTTTGTAAAATCACACACAAGGCTAATGATGTCTGTGCATTCTGACCCTCTGTGCTCTGCCGCGACTCGCCGCTAGCTATCCTGCGGAGTCGCTGTGTGACCTGCATCCCCCAATCACAGCGCTGCAGCTAGCCTGCCGCTAACTCACACACGCCGCGGATCTGAAGCGACAGGGCGGCTCCCTGCTGCTCGCGCCTGCCGTTGCGGTGCAGAACCGGCGGCGTTGCACTGTCAGGGTGCCTGAAACTGGTGGCAGCATATAGCCTAGAGCCTGAGAATGTGTGGATGTGCCTTTTCATACTTCTGTCCTTCTGCCTGTCCCTCTGTCAGTCTGTCCATCCCACTGTGTTCTGTTTCCAGGCCAGATATCAGTCATCCTGTTCTTTTCTGGGCCACAACCCCAAAACTGTTCAATAATTATCATCTAAATTTAACCCTAAGATCGCTGAAATACATTTTTTAAAAATGTAAATTTCATTATCTTGAGCTGTTGTAAACCTATCATGCGGCTACTTGTTTAAAAGAGCTCCCGATGCGGGAGCTCTTTTAAACAAGTCGCCACTTGCTAGTTTTTCAACAGCTTTGATTTTGATATCTTGCATCATTGAGCAACCATTGCTGCATTTAACGCTTTAAGGGTTAATATATGGTGACATCTTACTGTGTACACGCGCCACAGAAGCCCTGCTGTAGCAACTTCACGATCAGTATCAGTGCTGGGTCCATCTGAAAGGGCCCCCAATCTTAGGTTGTTCCAGAGATGATTGGTCCCTGCTCACTCCAGTTCACTGCAAGTCTCTTTGTGGGGGGGCTTGTCCAGGTAATAACTGTATTAATGTAACTACAATTATCAAATGTGGTATTTGTCAAAATAACAGACAACGTCAAGACCCTGAAGTCCAGGTTGCAAGCTGTCGGGATGGGGGTACAGTCATAATTTTATTTTGTCATTCATTATTCAAAAAAATAAATTAATTAATAAAATAAAAAAGCCAGTATGCCACATAAAAGCAACCATTCCGAGGTGTGAATGGACTGCTCTCGTATGTTGGACTATCAAATCGAAAGAGACCGTGCACTACCGTTTTCACATCAACATCACTGTGAATTTATCATCACCATAATTCCAGTAAGTTGCTGTGAGTAAGACCAAAAGCAGTTTGGTCCGACGGAGCACGACAGCGTGAATTTTTGGAAAACCCATTGGCAGGAAACTCAATATTAAATCATGCTGCTCTTGGTAAAAACCCCTCGCACATACGCTAGAGGAGACTAAATTCCCATCTAATGGAATGATTATGGACTGTTCCCTGAATATTTCACTCAAGAGTACTGTACCCATTCAGCTTAGAAAAGACAAGCAACTTTCTGCTGTCGTGATCAAAAGCTTCAAAGCAAGCGCTTAATTGAGTTCCTCCCGCAGTATTAGATATTTTTACACTAATTCTCTTTCCCTCCAGAAAAGGCTTTTATATTAAGGTGATTAAGAACGCCCTTCCTCTAATGGACACTAAAGTGCAGCGAAAAGGAAAGGTTTTACCCACAACACCCAATGTTATATTTCGAATTTTAATGAAGATCCAGGGATGCTGTTTTCACTGGATAGAGCGTCAGGAAAAAGGATTGGGTATTACATTTCTTTGACAAGAATAGTGGTTCTTGTGAAATAAAATGCATTTGTGTAGCACCAAGTAGTTCATCTTAGCACCATAATTCATTGTCTTTGCATAAAAGTTCCTTCTCAAAAATAATTTTCAGAGAAATGCATAGCTCACCATTAAATTTTTTCCAGTTCTCCGGAGTACTATTTTGTTCCAAACATTACTGCTTATTCTGGTAACCAATACTGCCCGACAAAGCTAAATAATACAGATATTTTCAGATTTCTTGAATCGCTGATTTGAATACAAGTGTTTCCTTGCTCGGGGATAGAAAAATGTACAGATCTTTCTAGAATGAATTTCCTTAGGTAGGGATTGTATCTTCTCCGTAATTATATCAACATTTCTTCAGAAGAGAATCATACTTGCAGTTTTTGGGACTCAGAATGTTACTGTGTGAAAATAAATGTCATACACATCTCTTCCATTGCCAAAATGACTAATGAAAAAGTGGAGGATTCAGCTGAAAATTTGGGTACGACGTAGTTTTTAATTTGGATTTCTGGAAGATACTAGTTGTTCAGAATGTATATAAATGCAATAATAAAGGCAGTCTCCCTGTTCACTGTTTTGAACAGAGGCAATGTCAGTGTATTGGCAAATTAAAGCTGTGAATATGTATTATGAAGGACATTTTAAATATTAACTGAAGTTTCTGTCGATCTGCTGGTTTTATAATGGCTGGTAAGGGAGCATTTCAGGGCAGTGATGTCCTTGAGCAAGGAAATGCATTTAATGAAACAAAGCAAAGTTAGAAAACAATGTGCACAGTGGTACTAGGCCTCCAGGGGTTGTCATTGTATATAATCTGGATATTGAAAAAAAGATAAAAGTTTAATCTAACTATCAGCAGGAACCATTTCCAAAGGGGTAGAGAAAGTACAACTGATGTTCCCAAGTGTACAGCATATGTGGACTACATCTGTGGTACTGTAGGGCCCTTGAGAGTACGGAGCTTGTGCTACTTAGTGTATGTACTGAGGAGGAGAGTGGCACCAGCGCTATATACAAATTCATGTTTTATCAGGGAATAAATGCTGTTCATTTGTAAATCCTAAACATCTCGAATCTGTATCCTACATACAGTGCAAATGTCCAGAATATGTTTCATGTCCCAGCCAATTAAAAAAAAGTGCATTTAAGTTTAAATATAAACGAACAAAGTACACTTTCATTGTAACAAATTACCATTTCAGTGTTGATTGGTCTACATGGTACCCATGTTGGTAGCTGTCCACCAAACGAACAACAAAAAAAGCACCACTGGTCTCCAACTCGTTAAACTTTTTACATATTAAGATAGCAGGCGTGGGCGGCACGGTGGCACGGTGGCACAGAGGTTAGTACTACTGCCTTTCAGCAAGAAGCTTGTGGGTTCGAATCCGGCCTGGGGCCTTTCTGTGTGGAGTTTGCATGTTCTCCCCGTGTTCGCGTGGGTTTCCTCTGGGTGCTCCGGTTTCCCCCACCCACAAAAACGTGCATTATAGGAACACTCCTACCAGTACCCCTGATCAAGGAACTGGCTCTAGAACTGGAGTTGGTCCCTGGGCGCCGCTCTCTGGCTGCCCACTGCTCCTAACTATAGGATGGGTCAAATGCAGAGGACGAATTACCCCACGGGGTTCAATAAAGTATATCTTTTCTTATCTTTGCAATACTGTGGATGAAAATGTTTCTGAATTCAAGATGAAGGCTATATTTGTGGCACCACAGCATTTATTTTTGACTTTTGGAGTGCATATTAGATTCACATGATCAGAATTATGCGTTGAAATTGAAGTGCTGCCACTTTTAGCTCCCTGTAGTCTTGGGACAAGTTCTTATCAAGATTTGTAGCAGTATTCCATCCTTCAAAAACAAAAACATAGCTTCTATAATAAGCAAATATAAAAACGTAAATATCAGACATGACGTGCATCCTTTCATGTTGTTGAAGTTGTTAACCAGTACACACCAATTTCAAAGCCAGGTTTGCATATCTCCATCAGATCTATAGATTAGTACGCTTTTAATAGAGAACTGCACCAAACTGGCTGACTTCGTGACACGCACAGCTGCACTGCCAAGAAAAACAAAAATTTAATTAAAAGATCAGCTGACACCAGAAGCTTTCTTTTGTAAATTAAACTGCGACATTTCAGTGCTAGACGATCTCCAGAAGCGAGCTGGCTTCTGCCACTGACTCATCAGCCCAGCCTCTAAGTGACTAATATACTATGCAGCTCTAATTTATAGGCCAATGAAAGCACCTGCAGTCTGCCCACAAACGGCAGGAATCAATCGAGCTCTTGGTTAATGCGCAGCTGAACCCCGCGTCCCAAGCCAGACACTGGCTGCGAGCGGATTGGCCAGTGGGAGATTGGGGGCGGAGCAAGTGGAATGGTGGTCCCCGGAGAAGTGGGTATCTGTTAGGTAGATAGGTAGTATTCTATGGGGAAAGTGGGCATATTCTCTTATGTATTACAATAACCTTTTTTTCGTTGATTGGTGATTATACTGTAAATTGACCTAAAAGAGAGGTGGATATACTTCATATACCTTCCCATGCACCCCTCACCAAAGCATTAACAACAGCATTATTCATTAGTTTGAGGGTATAGCAGTGGTAACCGACCCTGTTTCCAGAAACCAACCGTGTTACATAACACACTGCTGATTAGCACAACGATAAGATACTCAAAAACTTAACCCTTTGAAACCCAGCTTGTACAAAAACAAACATGACTGCTCTGTCCAGGTCAATTAAGACCACTCATATCAAATTCAAAAATGCTCAAAGTTTTTATTAAATTCTGAGTTAACCATAGCATTTCATAGTATGAAATGATAAGGTTAAATATTGCTTATACATTTCAGCACAAGTTGGATGCATTTATTTACAGCAAAATATGGCAGATTATACATATCGAGATCAAATATTCAGAGATACATGGTTAGTTTGAATTTGAATCTTGATTAGTAGAATCCGGTGTGTAACTGCTTAGCTGGAATGAAAGTCTTTTTCTACACACCGGCCCTTTCTGAATAAGTTTGAGGACCCCAAAGCAATCGAAAAAAACATACAAATCTGTATTCGGGCTGAGGAGTCAATTGGCATTCTACAGAAATTTTGCCTGCGGGCACCAAAGGGTTAAAGAAGCCTTGCTTTGTAGGGCGAGAATATGAACTGTTGTGATGGTAGCTCTCCTGGAACAGGCTTCGTGAGCAGAGTGTGGACCATTAGCTGGAGTAGCCTTCATTTCTGCAGAGCAACTTCAGCTCCCAGGAAACTGGAAAAATTCTTTCACGACAGTGCACACAGGTAATCTCAAGACACAGACAGCTGATTCAACAGACCGGTGACTCCCTCTGCAGCACCACAAGTGCTCTCTGAGTGTTCCGCTATGTTACATGGCTATGTCATGGGAGGGGGGACAATCGACTCCGCTGTGGCCTAGTCTGGAAAAGTGCCCTGCTAAAGGAGTTAGCGTGCAATTAGCCACTAAAACCACACCTATCCACCTTATGCAGCAAGCCATCTTCGCCAACATTCTACCCCCAGGTGTTCAGTTCTGTCTCAAGTCCACGCAACATTAGCTGGCGTAATTGCGTGTAATCTTACCTTTGAGCCGTCACCTGATGGACACCTGTTACGCCATGCAAGGTAATAATACCATGAAAGGGAATTCTTAATTAGCTTGGACTGTCAATCAGCTAGACAATTCATCTCTGGATCTGTGCCCACTGTGGGCTGAAACAGACGCAGCGCGTGTTTACGTCAGCTGTTTGATCTCTATAGCACCCCCAACTGCCCCCATTCCCGATCTCCACTGTCGCCGATCAGAAGCACCTGCAGCATGAGCTGTGGAGACTGTTTATGCAATCCTGCAACCCAGATGTATTTGTGATAAAGCAATTTCTCAAAGGTTGATGCGTCCAAATAAAAAAATGCGCTTAACCACCGAAAGTATTGCATTGTCAGCATCAGTAGTTACATTCGGGGGGTTTGGGGTGAAGATGAGGCGGGGAATGAAGGGGGGGGGCTGGCTGGCTTCGGCTCATATTTTGAGGCAGAATTTATTCATGGCAAAGTCCCAGTCGTAAAGCAAAAACCTGGATAAAATTTGTATGTGCAATTCTCCTGAGATGCATGGTATGCTCCCTCTATTTATGCTTGTAAAAACAAGATTTCTCATAATACTTCAGATGCACTTCAAGACCCGAGGATGGGAGGTGAGAACTTCTTCCAGTTTTAAAGCCGTAAGTGCAGGGCTGCAGATTAGCATGCAGTCTGAGAGATTGAGATATCCAATGGTAATAAAGGGCTCAGGGTAAAAGCAGCATTTCCTTACTTCCTCAAGATTCAAAACCCCGTGAAAAACTAACTGTTTGTGCTGATATGTAATGTAAAAATGGTAATTTTTTAGTTTGGATACAATTCGAAGTCAAGCCAATAAAGCTTTTTAGTATAAAATGAGGTTGAGATATGGACTGCCAGCTTTAATTGAGGGACTTTTTTGGCACAAGGTCAGTAGTCCAGCACTGTTGGACCTATGAACATTGAACAGGTTTTAAATGGTGCTATACTGTAGTACAGCATAGTATAGTACAGTATGAGTATAGTATATTAAAGTATTTTTTAGTATAAATTTAGGTAAATATGTGGACTGGTGGCTTTAATTGAGGAATTTATTTTCTGTACGAGGTCAGTACTCCAGCACGTTGGATTTGAAAACAATAAGATGTGAAAGCAGTGACAATCATGTTTAATTTCTGGGTCTGTGTCAAACGATCCGTGCAGGAATCCTGGCCTTTTGTTTTTTAATCGTCCCTGACTGAGTTCCCGAACACCAGCCGTATTTTTATTTGCAAAAGCGTCCTGCTCATTCGCTTCCACATCTGAGGGGGTCTCCTATTTATAGACCTTTAGAGACGAGCCGTAAAACGCCATCTGCCCGCCGCTCGGCTATGTCAGCTTTCCGGAGAGATCTGATGGGGCCGATAGCCGCAGCGTTTTAGAGACAATAGCCCTGATCCCATCAGGTTGATGTGGCCCGAGGGGTTTTATTTGCATGGCTGGGTCACACCTGCAGATGTGGGACCTGCTCAGTCTTATCTGAGCTGCTGTTTGAAGCAATTATAGACCCCCGCGCACTCTGGCACAGTCAGTAAACACGCGCTCTCCCGCTATAATGTGTGGCGCAACTGTCTCCCATTTCCTCTGGCTACACTCTGTGTCTGAAACCCAGCTGGGAGATTCTGTTCACAGGGGAGGGGTATTTTTACCTCCGCCAAGGAGGTTTTGTTTTTACTGGCGTTGGTTTGTCTGTCTGTCTGTCTGTTTGTGTACAACATAACTCAAAAGGTAATGAACGGATATTTTTGAAATTTTGTGGGTGGGTTGCTATTACATCAGGGATGGTCCCTGTTGATTTAGACTGCGATCAGTCGAACAGTATGGCTGCAAGATTTTGATTGTGCCGCCTTGGCGGAGGTTCGGAATTGCCTCTAGCTGGAGGAGTGGCACTTTCTGTTCTACTTCGTCTGCATTTGTCTGTCAAAGTGGTGGAGTGACAAAAAGTCAAAAAATGTTCAATAGCTAAATAGTATTTGAGTTCTATAATCATCTTATAGTATTCAAACGCTAGGATTAGGATTCCGTCGTTTGTGTCTTGTAACCAAATATAAGGCAGGCACCAAATTATGATTATGTACTGAAAGCCACATTCCAAAAGCTGCCATGATTTTCTTGGTCAGTTCGGTCTAAAATTCATAAAAAAGTAAATGTGTGTGGATGGCTGCAGTATCTGTGGAGATTCATCTAACATGACCAGGCCAAAACCTAGTGTGTGGATTGGATGGATCGTCTATGGTCTACGTGCAAAATTGTGGGTAATGAGCGACGGCCAATGGGGAGACTACACCCCACCAGCCGGCCAATGGGTAATTTCATCACTCACTCCCTCACTCAGCCAAGGACATTGCAGATGTGGGGCCAAACTGCGCCAGTCTGGCTAAAGATGGCTTCATTAATCTTTGCATAAGTGTACAGCATTGCTGGGACTGTTTCCATCAGTACAGTGCTGAGACAAAACCTACATATTGCATTTGACAGTAAGCTGATTTGTTTATGTATTGTGAGAAGATGATATTTGAGGAGTTACTGAGAATAGAAACTGAAATTGTATTTTGATATGTAGGTTGAATTTCATGGCAATTTCAGCAACCTTTTACCACAGTGAGGTGTGTAAAAGATTTGGCTATTTTGTATGGAATTGATCATAGACTGTCAGGCTATGTAGCCTGAATGCCATCTTGCTGACTGCAGACCAGTAAATGCAACTATTTACCCTTTGAATGGTTGGGCAAGTGAGAGATGTGGGTTCAGTTCCCAGCTTGAGTTTTGTGAATATTCT